CTCTAACCTTAATTTATTTCTAAAGAGAAAGGAGAATATAGGTATATTTATCCACACATACCAAAGTATATTTAGTTTCAAATTTTCAAATTTTTTTAAATTAAAAGATAATACTTTTTCTGTTGCCAAAAAAAACCCCAAAACATTTTGCCTTAACAAAGATATAACCTGCCGCCGAGCGGTGGTGGTGCATGCCTTTAATCCCAGCACTCGGGAGGCAGAGCCAGGCGGATCTCTGTGAGTTCGAGGCCAGCCTGGGCTACCAAGTGAGTCCCAGGAAAGGCGCAAAGCTATACAGAGAAACCCTGTCTCGAAAAACCAAAAAAAAAAAAAAAAAAAAAGATATAACCTGCCAAAAAAGGAACTCCCCAAAGTTAAGGTTGGGGAAGGGTATTGTTTTTGTCTTTCCAGGAGAATAAAAGCATCCAACTAAGGAATCTGGAGACCACTGGACAAATGAGACATCTGAAGGAGGATGAATCATGAAGAGAAAATGTCCCAAGAAAAAGAGTAAATTGGCCTAATGGTATAGCCTACCTCCAATAGGGTAGAATTTCACAAATCTTCCCAAATGCTTGTTTTTTCTGCTGCTGTCTACAGACACAAAATGTAAATGGTCTTTTTGTGGTCCCAATTCAATTAAAAATTAAAGTTGCCTTTGGAGCTGGGGCGTGGCTCTCCTCTAAACCCACACATACTTATTAAAGGAAAATCCAAAATCTTTGTCTCATATCAGAAGAGTCATCTGGTTTTCGACAGAAGAAACCTAAAATAAGGAAGTAGTCTATTGACACTTATCTCCTAATCCTTTGGTTTTCATTTGATTCTTTAAATTTTTTCTTTTTTAAAAAATTTATTTAGGCCGGGTGGTGGTGGCACACGCCTTTAATCCCAGCACTCGGGAGGCAGAGGCAGGCGGATCTCTGTGAGTTCAAGGCCAGCCTGGTCTCCAAAGCGAGTTCCAGGAAAGGCGCAAAGCTACACAGAAAAACCCTGTCTCGAAAAAACAAAAAAAAAAAAATATTTATTTTTACTTTATGGGAATTGGTGTTTGCCATGGATGTCAGGTCCTCTGGAATTACAGACAGTTATGAGCTGCCTCATGGGTCCTATGGAAGAGCAGTCAGTGCTCTTAACCACTGAGCCATCTCTTCAGTCCCCAAATTTTTCTTAAGGTATAATTATCTCAAAATAAAATTATGTATATATAAACTTTCTGTCATATTAGTGATCTTATGGAGTACTATGCTTCAGACTCAAACCTGAAAACACATACAGAAAGCTATATGAAGCTTATTTCTAGACTTAGTTAGTACTCCATATGAAACTAAGTCTAGAAATAAGCTTCATATAGCTTTCTGTATGTGTTTTCAGGTTTGAGTCTGAAGCATTTAACTAGGAGCTAAGTTTGTACCCTGGATATACTTGATGGATTATGGTCCTCTAACCTTTTGGAGATCTGCTTGTAAACGGAGACGGAGTCTTTTGTTCTAACTGCCAGGTCCCAAATAAACACATAAAAGCTTATAATAATTACAGAATGCTTGACCTATAGCTCAGGCTTCTTACTAACTCGATTTTACATTCAAATTAACCCATTTCTGTTAATCTATATCTTGCCACGTAATCTGTGGCTTTACCAGTCCTCTGGCATCTTGCTTCTTGGGCAGCTGGCTCCTGTCTCCCTTGACTCCGCCCTTCTTGATTCCAGTCCTCAGACCAATTGTCCCACCTAACTTCCTGCCTGGCTACTGGCCAATTAGCATTTCATTAGGAAATGAGAGTAATACATATTTATAATGTAGAAAAGGATCATCCCACAGCATCTGCTGAATATGGCATTTAAAATGTTTATGTTTTCTGCAGTGAACCATGACCATTCCTGGCAGTGAGTGACCTTTGAGGTCTTCAAGAAGACGATGGGGCCCTACAATGACAAATCCACCTGGGTTGTGGTAACACCACTAAGCTGACAAACATCACCCAAAGATCAGCTTCACACTAGACTGCTCAGGACGATTTCTAGCTGGCTAGCTGAGGCAGTCCAGCCTGGGACTTCAGTTAAGCCCAGCACTTTCTCATCACACAGACTGGACAACAAATGACACATTTAGCTTTCCCAGGACTTGGCCATTATCCCAATTTTACCAGGGTCCCCTAAAGATGCTGTCACTCCCCAGACAATAGGAAGTAATTTTCATTCTGGAGAGGTGGCGTGGGTGGATTTTGGTTGTTCTGTGAGTGTGGATGTTTGTCACTGTTTAGGGGCTGGTTGCAGGTTGTTACTGGTTATGTTCAGGGAGGACACTAATCAAAGGTTAGATTAAGAGATTTCTTTCTTTTCCTTTCCTCTATCCTTTCCTTCCTACTTAGTGTTGAAAAAAAGGGGGGGTTAGGAGATTAAAAAGAAAAAAAGGGGGGATATAGGAATAATAAGATAAAAGGGTAGATTACTGAATCTACTTTTAAACTGGAAAGCAACTACTAGTCTCAAATATTTTACATTGATATGGATTTTTGTATATTGATACAAATTTAAGGTAATTTTTGTTATAATATATTGTATATGTGTTTCTACTCCTGTTTAAGGTACTGTACCTATGCAGTTCATTTAAAAATGTAATGTAGCTGGGTGGCAGTGGCGCACACCTTTAATCTCAGCACTCGGGAGGCAGAGGCAGATGGATCTCTGTGAGTTTGAGGCCAGCCTGGTCTATAGAGAGAGTTCCAGGACAGACACCAAAGCTACAGAAAGAAACCCTGTCTCAAAACAAAAACAAAAATAAACACACACACACACACACACACACACACACAAAAAAAAAAAAAAAAACCCAGACTTTGGGTTGGGGATTTAGCCCAGTGGTAGAGCGATTGCCTAGCAAGCATAAGGCCCTGGGTTCAATCCTCAGCTCCAAAAACAACAATAACAACAAAATGTAATGTAAAATTCTAGTCCTTGAAAGCTATATTACAAACTGTTTAGGGTAATTAAGAAATGTAGATTAGTAGTTAGTCACCTATTAACAATCAAACTTGTGGTCATGTTAGGTATGTTTTCAAAGTTAAACACAGATATATTTTAGATAGACAGTCTTCAAACACTTCGGAGATCTACAGAATATGGCATTTAAGATGTTTTAACAATGTAAGGCTTTTCATGACAATGAGACGCGTCTGTTCCTGGAAGCGCCAATCTACTTCAGAGAAGATGATGGGCATTGAAGAACCTCCATATGGAGTTTGTTTTAAATGTGACAAAGCTAGCCACTGGGCAAGAAACTGCCCTTGCCTTGAGTGCTGACAGTATGCTGTCCAAATTGAACAAGCAGGACACAAAGGAACTCGACTGCCAAACTTTGCCAAGACAAGGCAGGCCAGTCCTTTAAAATTCCTGCTTCACAGAAAAGTTTGTCAATTCTGGGCCTGTAGGCTGAAGATGGATGTCCCAACATTGTAGAGGAACTTTGGGTGACTATCCAGGCAGTCAGCCGTTTCTGTCATTTCTATAGTTTTGGAAGTTGTATGCTCTGCACTTTCTGTTTAATCAGGTAATTTTATATCCTTCTTGGGTCTTTGATGGGGTTGAAGACTAGATAGTTACAGTTTTCCTTGTTAACAAATTCAGAAAAGAAACTCACAAAAGAGATGTAAAGTATATAAGGTTGAGAGACATAAAAGCTCAAATTGTTGATCTAAGAAAATGTTTTGAGGTATAAAAAAATAGTTTTGGGTTGGTAATACAAATTAGGATTGAAAATGGATTAGGTACCAAACTTTCAACTCACCAAGACAGAATAGATAATGGAGTATTTTCTCTGAATTTGCCAAATGCAAATGAACTGGACAGTGTGAATATAATTCTCACCTGATAATTGTTTTTATTGCAGTTTTTCTGTATCAGAGTTAAAAACCTTCCCTTTTTATTTAGACAAAAAGAGGGAAATGTTGTGATATTTTGATTGCATTCTGACGTTCCTGAGAGTGGCAATAAAGTTTGCTTTGACTCAGAGGGTGTAGCTAGCTATTAGCTGATCAAAATTAACCATAGAGGTTTTGGAGTACTGAAGACAGACAACGAGACAAAGGAAGTAGTAGGGCAGGGCTTAGAGAAGATCTTGGTCCTTTTTGGATTGAGGAACGAGAAAGAAAGGTCATTGGCCACTTCTCTGATCATTCAGGTTCTTACCGTGATATCTGACCCCTGTGTTTTTATTGATAAAGATTAGATATAAATGCTTCACCTGTCCCTGACCCCATCACCACTCAGGCTAGTCTCCAACTCTTGTGGGCTCAACCCTCCCACCTCAGTCACTGCTGCAACTGCAGAGGCACATCACTGCACTTTGCTTCTCAAATTTCAGTTACAGACAGAACTACTCCCTGAAAGCACTGACTACATATGATAGAACTAAGGTAAATAAGGTACATAATATTTCATTTATGTATTTAGAAGCAAAAAATTATAAAATATTATGTAAAAATTTTATTTCTTAAAATGTTTAAAACCATACTAAAATTTAAACATTTACATTGTATAGTACCTGATAATCCATTTCAACATACTGAAAGATAAACTAATCCCTTTCTAAAATAAGTTTAAATTGTTTTGTTTGACAAGGGCTCTTATTAGCCCAAACTGGCCTCATACTCACTATACGGTTTAACTGGCATTGAATTGATGGGCTCTCTACTTTCCAGGTCCCAGAACTTGTACCACCATGCCTGGGAAATCAGTTTGTTTTCTCAGGTTAACAGTGCAGAGACTGGAGGAAGATGGAAGCAGGTGGCAATGGAGAAAGTTGTGGGATTTACAGGTGTTTGGCCAAATGGCTTTTAAGAAAGTAAACAAAACTACAACTGAGAATACCCAATACCTACGGATCTTTACAATAAATACAGTTTTTGTTTTTTTTTTTAATTTCCTGTGCTAGGGAGCACATACTAGGTATGTGTTCTAACACTGATCTACAGCAGACAGTAATTTAAAACAAAACAAATTTGATCTGATCAAACCAACAACTTTCCATTTTATTCAATTTTGAATAAAAAAGTATATCAAAGGCATCAACTTCAGAAGAAATTATTTGCCTCATTTTTGCCAAACAAGGACAGTTTCTTGTCTGTTGAAAGTGCTTGAACTTCTTGAAATTCAGTTTTCATTTGTCTCCTAATTTCCAAATAAATAGATAAACAGCTCCAGTTCATGGCTTGTAGATTGTTTTCCTAGACCAGAACATCCTCCAAGCTGTCATCATAGACCCATTTGAAGACAGATTCTTCAGAACTCTCTATAGTTTCAAAAAGTCTTTTGAAGTCGTGAGGATACAGTTTAAGTATTGTCCATCCAGGCCTTATTCTCACCTGCCTCAGTATTTCAATTGGCTCAACCGTACTCAGTGAACTGCAAAGGAAAAGCAAGTAAACATGTTTAACTCCCTTCCACAACAACTGTCAGTTAAATCTAAGAGAGCTGTCTCCTAAATTCAATTAAAATGTAAACTCTCTGTACAGAGATGACTTTGAACTCCTACCTTACCCACCAAGTACTGGGATTATAGGTATGTACTACCATACTGGGTATGGTTAAGAAATATTTACATAAAATAAATGTTAAGCCTATAATCTCAGCAATCAGGAGACTGGGAAGTCATTCCTAAAATTTTAGAGCTAACCACCGATAAGTGGTTTAAAGCGGTGCAATCAATTCTCACAAACATTCTAGGTTTTTTTGTTTTTTTTTTTAATCTTTTTAAATTCTTGATAGCGTCTCACCATATAGCCCTGACTGGTCTGGAACTCACGATGTAGACCAGACTAGCCTCAAATTCAGAGTTCCACCTGCCTCTGCCTCCCAAGTACTGGGATTAAAGGCATGTGCCACCATGTGTGTGAGGTTTTTTTAAAAGATAGTTTCACTCTGTATCTCAGTCTGGTCTGGAACTTACAATAAAGGCCTTGAGCTCATGTGACTGATTCTCCTGCCCCAAGGTCCTGTGAGTTGAGATTATGGGCTTACCGTTTACATGTAAATAGTGTGGCAGTGCTATAATCCTGTTACTTGGAAAGTAAAGGCCAGAGGGTCAAAAGTTCAGTCAACTCTGACTATACAGAAAGTTAAGCTAGCCTGGACTACATAAAACCAACCTCAAAACAAATAACTAAACAAATAAATTAACTAAAAATAGGTATTTCTAGTCAACAGTCCCATTAAGGTTATATGGCAAATGATGATTCATTAAAATGACTATTTTAACACTTTTTCCATCTTCTGACAATACTTAGGGCTGCCAGTTACAAAGCTGAATGGAGAACACGTCACACTGGCTGTGGTAAGAGCTCCTGCTGCTCTCCTTGGGGCCCTGAGCTCAGTTCTCAGCGCCCATGTCAAGCAGTTCTGTAACTCCAGCTCCAGGGGATGATGTAAATATTGTCTGGCCTCCACAGGAACCCAGGAACAGCCCACGTGTGAACACACATAAAAATAAAATAAATACAAACTGAACAGAGCTAAAACAGCCTTCGAGTAGCCTAGGTGCAAAGCAGGGGTGTTGGGGCCCCTGGGACTGGAATGACAGGCATTTGTGAACTGCTTCTCAACCCTCTCTCCAGGCCAGAAGGAGGTATTTTTAACAGGTAAAGTATTTTTAACACGGGCACACCTTACTCTAAATCAAGATGTGAAACACCACCTTGTCACACAGGAGACAGTCACATTAAATCACTCCTTTAATCGTTTGACCTCACTGAATTTCTACTTACCGTAAATGTTGTATTATTGGGGCACTGCGCTTCCCAAAGCAGTGCTTCACCATGTGGAAAAAAATATCATAATTCAAGGGACTTAAGTTTTCTGTAAATAAACTTCTACGAGGAGTCATTTGAATAAAATATAGGTTTTGTTTCATTGAGTTCAGTGAGTCCTAGACAGAAGAGAAAGTAATTTTTGTCAGTCATACCCATTACCAGGGAGAAGAACTGAGCCTGGACCCTGACTTCTTCAAGCCACTTGCTGCATACCCCACACGCCCCTGGTTTGCTTACTGAAGGCTCCACACTGTACCTCGGGCCACGTCAGAGTTCTGACAGAAAGCAACCTAGAAGGAGGAGGTTTTCATTCTGTATGTGAGAGAGAGCAATGTTGCTGATGTTTACCACGAAAGAGGCAATGGGAGGGTCCTGGGAGGGTCCTAGTCCATTCCTCAGCTGGGGCAAACCCAATGTGTGCCTAGAAAACCACTTTCCACCACTGGGCTGGAAGCTCACACAGTCCTTTACCTAACCCAGAAAGCTAACGTGTAGTGATGGCCTCGTGACTACAGTGAAGTCAGAGCTCAGACACATCAACGTGAAAGGAGTTCCTGCTGTGTTCAAGGACACCACAAGCAGACCCAAGAACAGAAAGGATTACCGACTAGCCTTTTCCTTATCTTTTTCTTTTTTTGGTTTTTCGAGACAGGGTTTCTCTGTGTAGTTTTGGTGCCTATCCTGGATCTCGCTCTGTAGACCAGGCTGGCCTCGAACTCACAGAGATCCGCCTGCCTCTGTCTCTGGAGTGCTGGAATTAAAGGCGTGCACCACTGCTGCCTGGCTTCCTTATTTTTTTCTAAACATGCATTTATTTACTGTGTGTGCACACACACATATGTATAATTTTATTACTGAAAAGGTTAATTCAGAAAAGATAATCTTTTTTTTTCTTCCATCTCTCCAGCCTCTTAAAGAAAATAAATGGGATGGACGAGAAGGGCAGCATCATTTGTTCTTACCGGAAGCTTTGACTTCTCTGAATGCCCATTCTCAGTATGCGCACTAAAGGAGGACCAAGGTTCCTGGAGGAGGAAAAACAGACAAGACAGTGCTTTCTTTCTGAAGTTCTGTGTGGGACACGTGCACGTGGACGTGTGTGAAGGTGGGAGGCTGTTTTCAGGTGTTTCACTCTATCATTCTCCTGTCATTGTTGAGTAAGGGTTTCTCACTGAACCTGGATCTTACAGACTCTAGCTGGCCAGCAAGTCCCAAAGATCCTCCTGTCTCTGCCTCCCCAAGCCCTGGGATTAGAGGCGTGGGCTCTTTTTCACATTTTTCTGCTGGGAACTGAACTCAAGCCCTTGTGCTAACACTGTAAGCACTTTATCAACTGAGACATCTCTTCAACCCCGGGACATTCTTTAGTTTACATATATCTCAAGTGAGGCCTAAGGCTCCTTAATTCTGTCAAAATGCTTCAAGTTATTATTACTATAAAAAAAAAACCTACCTATGCGAATCTCAGTGTGGTAGTGTACAATTATAATCCTAGTACTTGGGAGGTAGAGGTAGCCTGGGCTATATGAGACCCAGTCTACCCCACCCTGCAAACAAAACCAAACCAAAGACCAAATCATACCCAGGGGCTAGGGCTGTAGCTCTTTATCTGAGTACTGTTTCTGTGTTCAAATCCAAAAAACCCCACACAAATAAAAGGATAAACACTTCGAATCACATCTAGCATTGCTAACTAAGTGTTAACAATGACTAAGTATTTGAACTACAGTATTCAAATGGTATATTTTGTGTAACAGGTAAGAGGATGTATCAAGCTACATATGGTGGTACACATATACAATCCTAGCACTCAAGGTGGCTGAGACAGGAGGATAAAGTGAGCCTGCGTTACATAATGAAATCCTGTCTCACAAAACAAAGCAATGTAATATTCACTATATTTAAAAAAGCAAAGCATAGGAAAACAGAAAACAGAAGCGTGTCATCTCTGCCACTGGTGATGTCTGGGCTATAGAACTACAGCACTGTTTCATAAAATTTCCCTTTTGGAGAGCATGTCTCAAATAAACCACGTTTCCTAGTTTTTTGTTGGTTTGTTTGTTTTTCAGGACAGGGCTTCTTTGTGTAGGCTTGGCTATCCCAGAATTAGCTCGGTAAATCAGGCTGGTCTTGAACTCACAGAGATCCACCTGCCTCCGCTTCCCCAGTGCTGGAATTAAAGTCATGCACCACCACCACTCAGCAAGTTTCCTAGTTTTACCATGAGCTATTTGAGCACTGTCTCAAATATTACTTTTGTGATTAGAGAAAAAGATGCTGCGGAGACTCACAGAGGTTTCCTAGTGAGAACTTACTCAGGGTCTGAGAATCTGGGCTTGCTTTACCTAGCAGAGCTACATAAGGGAATGATTTGACCACTGGCATGGTTACTAGGTGTTTGGAAGGGTCTATATTTGGCGGTGGGGTGTGCTTTGATCTAGCAAGGGGGAGGTCTTTTGGCCTGTCCCTTGGCATTGTTATAAAAAGCCCTTCTGAATAAATGCAAGAGGCTGTTGGGTATTGATCCAGGCCCTCCTGAAGCTATCCCGTGTTTCTGTCTTTTTTCTCGTCAACTAGGTCTCTCGATCAAATATCTTCTTACCCATCTCTCATAAAAACTCTTCAAAAGGTGGGAGCTGGCCTCCCACAAGGTGCCAAACAAGTGTCAACATTAATCTCCCTCCAAGAACTGGCAACAGCAAACGCCTTTAATCCCAGAACTCAGGATGCAGAGGTAGGAGGATCTCTGTGATTCAAGGCCATCCTGATCTACATAAGGAGTTCCAGACCAGGCAGGGCTACATAGTGACACCCTATGTCAAAATAAAACAAAAGTAAACAAGCTGGAAAATAATGAAATTCAATCTTTTAATAAATTAATCTTTTAAATTAACCTTTAGTGCATGGTCTGTGCTTACAAGCCTCTGAGTTAGAAAATTCTCCTGGCATCTGAGACTTTACTCACCATTTGAATAAACTTAATATCACAAGCCACTTGCCAAAGCACACTCAACACATGATACAAGTCTGGCCTTTTAGGAGTTGCTATTAGTCTCTAGTGAAAAAAAGAAACAGAGAAAATTATGTTACATAGATTCATAATCAATATCATATGTTGGATCTTAACTTTAACATCTTAATAGCATCTAGAAGTTTAAATTAAAAAATGAGAATTGGCCAGGTGTGGTGGCACATGCCTTTAAACTCAGTTCTCATTTAGGCAGAGGCAGGTGGATCTCTGTGAGTTCCAGGACAGACAGGACTACATAACAGAGTCCCCATCTCAACAAACCACAAAGATGAAAACTAAGTACAAAACATTAGCCATAAGTATTTCCACATAGAGTTTTCCTTTTTGAAAACATATAATATCAACATATAAAACTGATTGTATGGGCTGGGGTGGTTAAGAACACTTGCTGCTCTTCTTGACTGGAACTTGGTTCCTAGCACAGACAAAAGGAGGCTCAGAGCTCACAATTGTGAGCTATTTAAATTATGCATCAGGAATTGTTAAGCCTGTAACTCTAGCTCCAACACCTTCTAGCCTCTGTCAAGTACATGCACACACATGGCATGCACACACATGGCATAAATATATACATCTAATTAAAAATATGAACGAAACAAAACCGCAGGCCAGAAAGATAGCTCAGCAATTAAGAGCACTGGACGCTCCTCCAGATGACCCAGGTTCAGTTCTCAGCAACCACGTGACATGTCACAACCACTGTCTGTAACTCCAGACCCAGAGGATCCGATGCCCTTGTTTGACCTCCTCAGGCACTACATGCACATGGGACACAGACTTATCACTTTTAATAAGGCATTTCAGGGGGAAATCTTAGTTAAGAAAAACTAAAATAAAAAATGTATAATGACCAGACATGGTAGCAAACACCTTGTAACCTCAGCACTAGGGAGACTAAGACAGGATTCCTCTGAGTTCAAGGCTGGCCTGGGCTACATAGTGAGTTCCACAGCCAGCCCAGTTTACAGAGCAAGACTGTTTCAAAAACTAAAACCAAACACAAATAGGAAAAACTCATCATTTAGCCACAGGCACAATTAAGACAGAAACAATTCCTACACTATGGATTCAACAACAACAGAACAGAACAGCATGGACTATGGAAAAAGAGACCTATGCTAGAATTCCATGTTAGGTGAGCTACGAAGTTGTGTATCAAGAGTTGTTATGGCTGAGGATGATAAGATGGTGCTGGTCACCAAGCCCGACGACCTGAGTCCAATCCCTGGGACCAACATGGTGGAAGGAGGAAACAACACCTCCAAGTTGTTTCCTGACTCCCACATGGCTAACAACGGTGTGTATGAGCATGAGTGAATGCAAGTGTACACACACACACACACACACTCTAAATGTTGTTTTTTTAATAAAAAATAATTGTTAATCTTTTTTATTTGTTTGAGACAGAGTGTCTCTGTGTGGCCCTGGCTGTCCTAGAACTTGCTCTGTAGACCAGGCTGGCCTCGAACTCAGAGATCTGCCTGCCTCTGCCTCCACAGTGCTGGTAAAGGGGTGCTCTACCACTGCCCAGCAAGGCAGACTCTTGCTGGACATTAAGGATGATACCATCAGTAAATGGAAGGTATCACCGAGAAAGGATATCATGGAAAAGTCCATGTTAAAGAAGCTGTAAGCAAGACAAAATTTTTGTTCTCATGTAGCCCAGGCTGGTGTGCAACTATACACTGGAGGATGACCTTGAGTTCTGATCCTTCTTCCTCTACCCACTAAGTGCCTCCCAAATAGCTGGATCACAGGTTTGGCCACTGTGGCCAACTTACAACCCGATGAGCATTCTTCCGTACCTTGTTCTCATCTCTTGTTTATTTATAGTAGACATGTATGTAGGTATATGGATCGGGATTCTCTACTCTCATTCTACATGGCTAGCCAATATTTACTATCTCGGCGAGGACACATTCCCTCATTTCCTGCACCATTATTCCTACCTAGGGTTCCTTTATGTATAAATGGGCACTGCTGCTATTCTGGAGCAAAGCTCACGCACAGGAAGCGCTGTGGTCTGTAGCCGATTCTAACAGTACTGTTCATGGCTGCAGGGTGCCTTCTCACTAAAAAGGAAAAAAGCAGAGGCTGCTGTCCCTGCACCAGACGCCCAAAGAGCAGACTAAAAGTCCAACTGGAGCCACTCAGACTTGAGTTCCAAGCCACTAAGGTGAACCAATATTGTTTACTTGCTTTTCCCAGAAATCAGGAACAGCCAAGGTTCCCAAACAAGCCAGGCACAACTTGCCAAGATAATGACAGTCCATCTGCACTAGTCCTTATACAACAAAGGTCATCTGAAGGAAGCTGGTGGTTTTTCTATTGTTCAGTATCCCTGCTTCTTCTTTAGGAATATGATTGTGAAATGATCAAGCAGCTATCGATTTTGGGTTAGCTTTCTTCAGTGTACACTGTCTAGAAAACCAACCTCCTTTGCTGTTTCTGTCAGGACATGCATTCCACTGTCAATGGAAAGAAGCACTGATGTGCCCTTCTGTCATAGAGAAAGTAGTCAGCGTGGTGAGAAACCACAAAGGACACAAGATTTTGATGGACTGATGATACACCAATGACTGGTAAGAAAACCAAGACGTTCAGCATAACTAGCCGTTAGGAAAACACTAACACACTGAAACACTACTCATCCAACTATGAGATGGTATCAAAAACACAAAGAAAGGGGCCGTGAGGTGATGCAGCTGGCCAAGTTTGCTGACTTGGGTTCGATCCCTGGAACACACCTTTGACCTCCACACATACACTAACAAGAAACACAAATTAGCTGGATGTGGTGGCACACGCCTTTAATCTCACCACCTGAGAAGTAGAAGCAGGCAGATTTATGTGAGTTGGAGCAAAGTGAGTCCAGGACAGTCGGGGCTGTTACACAGAAAACTCTGTCTCGAAAAATAAGCAAGCAAACAAACAACAACAAATCAAAACAAACAAAAAGAACCTCACAAAATAAAATAAAAAGAAACACAAGTATGATGGGGAAAAACTCTGAATTCTTGTGCACTATTGTTGTAAAATAGTGTGTCTAGCAAGAAAAGCAGTATGGCACTTCCTTAAAACATTAACTAGAATCACTACACGATCTAGCAACGCTAGTTCTAGATATATGAACCCAAACCACGGAAAGCAGGGGCTGGGAAGGCAGCTCAGTGTAAAGTGCTCGCCACAAAAACAGGAGGAACTGAGCAAGGTCCTCAGCACCCATGGAAAAGCCAGCACAGCAGCTCAGGCCTGTAACTCACGGCGAGAGGCGGAGACAGGCGGATCCCTGGGGCTTACTGGCCAACTAGTCTAGACAAACAGCAAACTACAAGTCCTAGTGAGTAGATCAATGAAGAAGTAAAATAGAGGTAAAGAAAGAAAAAAGTTAAAAAAAAATCAAAGAAGTAGGTGGCTCCCATGCAATGACATCAGGGGCTGATTACAAATCCATTACAAATCCACCTGCACACCACCCCTGCCACAACCTGAGAGCGAGAACTTGTGTATGTGGCAGCTTTATTTATAATATTTGAGAAGTGGAAGCAGCTAAGTGTTCTTTCACAGATGAATAGATAAATTTTAGTGAGTACATATAGCAGAATAATATTCAGTTAAAAAAAAACGAAGGAAATTTCAACACACGGTAACACAGAGAAACTTGAAGATACCATGCTAAGTTCAGTAAGCCAGCCCCAAAAGGACAAAGGTCATTCCAGCCCCAAAAGGACAAAGGTCGAATGACTCGAAGCCAAGCTCAGAGAGGGTGCAGGACAATGGTCAGTAAAGCCTGAGGAAATGGGAGCACGGGGGTTAAGTGCTCAGTGGAATATCTAAAAAATGTTGGAGCTAGACCACAAGTACTGGATGTAGAATATAAACATATTTAATGCCACTAAACTGTACACTGTAAAATAATTAAAACTCTCAAATGTCAGGGGACCCAAATGAAAAAAAATTCAGCTGAAGTTCCTCAGAAGACTACAGCATTCTCTCCAGCACTCTCTCTCAATAGCAACACCAGTCACTGTTGACAACCCACCTGGAAGTGTTTTTCAGTAACAAACAGATTCAGCTCTACTCGTCCGTATCTGTATATAGACTCGCAGGAATACAGATCAAACAGAATTTTCCAAAGCAGTCGTCTTTCGTCTTTATTTGGTAGGATTCCAAATATTTTTACAGGAACACCTGTTAGGGATACAAGCATAAACTTGCATAAGGTTCTTAAAACTTTTTCCTATGATCACATTTTATTGATGCAAAGTAAGTTAACAATGGTAACTATTTCAATTAAGGATCCAAGATGGTGGGTGACATGCAGGTATGGTGTGCTAGAATCACCAAGGAAGTAACTGAGGACAGCTGGGTGACATTATCAGAAGAGGTGGGTAAATACCCATAAGCTGTCCAGTCTAGTAATGAAGTAAATGAGATACTGTTGGGAGCTAGGGAGAGGGCTCACTCAGAGAAGGGTTTACTGTGTAGGTGTCAGAACCTGACTCCAGACCCCCAGGCTTTACTGTCCAGTCTACCTAACTAGGTTCCAGGTTCAGTGACAGACATGGGGTGATTGAGGAGGACACTCAACATCAAACTTTGGCCTCCACAGGCATACACGTGTACATGCACACACACGAATGTGAACACATAAAGAGGAAAAAAAGGAAGAACACAAAAGTTGCTGTGCTGGCTAGTTTTAAGTTAACTTGACACAAGCTAGAGTCATCCGAGAGGAGGGAGCCTCAACTGAGAAAACGCCTCCGTAAGCTCAGGCTGGAGGCAAGCCTGTAGAGCGTTTTCTTAATTACTGATTTACGGAGGAGGGTCCAGCTCATTGTGGGTGGTGCTATGTGGTGATTCATTGTGTACCCTAATAAAATTTGCCTGATGATCAGAGAACAGAACAAGACACTAGATTAAACATAGAGGCCAGGCAGTGGTGGCACACACCTTTAATCCAATCGGGATTAATTGGGAGGCAGAGATCTGTCTGGGTCTCTGTGAGTTCAAAGCCACCCTGGACTACATGAGATTGATTCAGACTAGGAGAGAAACAGCCAGACTGTGGTGGCACACACCTTTAATCCCAGCACTTGAGGTCTCATACCAGTATCTGGGAAGCACACACACCATTAATCCCAGCAGTAGGACGGAAGTGAAATGGCTGGGTGGGAAAGGCGTATAAGGTGTGAGGAGACAGGAACTAGAGCCTTTCAGCTGAGGACACAGAGGCATTCACTCAGAGGATTCGTGGAGACAGATCTCGCCTTCCATTCGGCCTGAGGATTCGGTAGTGGTGAGAAGTTTCTCTAGTGGCTTGTTCCTTTGTCTCTCTGATCTTTCAGCATTGACCCCAATATCTGGTACTGGGTTTTTTATTAAAAGACCAATAGAAATTCAAGCAACAGTGCCATCCCTGGGCTGGTGGTCCTGGGTTCTATAAGAAAGCAGGCTGAGCAAGTCATGAGGAGCAAGCCAGTAAGCAGAACTTCTCTGTGGCCTCTGCATCAGCTCCTGCCTCCAGGTTCCTGCCCTGCTTTCCTTCCATAATGAACAGGGATGTGTAAATGTAAGCCAAGTCAACCCTGTCCTCCCCAGGTTGCTCTGACCGTAGCGTTCATCACAGCAATAGTGACGTTAACTAAGACAGGTGCCTACGGCAATGACGGGGGAGATACAGGGGAAACACCCTTTCCTCTTGGCACTCATGAGAGCAGCTGCAGAACACCATTTTAAAAAGATTCTTGGAGCTGGAGAGATGGCTCAGCAGTTAAGAGCACTTGGTGCTTTTCCAGAGGACTCAAATTTGGTTGCCAGCACCCACCTTGGGTGGATCACAATGACCTGTAATTCCAGCTCCAGGAGATCTGATGCCTTCTTCTGGCTTTTAAGGGTACCGGTATGTACATGTATATACTTACATACAAGCACATGAAAAGAGCGAACGAACAAAACCCTCTGCTGAGTCAGCAGCTTAGTCCTGGCCCCCATTTCCTCCCCAAAAGTGTCATGGAACTAGATTGGAAAAAATCTGAATTAGATAGAGCCATGCAATATTCAGTGAGACGGACACCTGGGTGAGGGAGCCTATAGGAGAACACATACTTGTGTGGGGTGGCACACCCTAGACATCCGGAAGTGCAGCCGAGGAGCAGGATAAGCTTTCGAAACTGGACTCCTGAAGGCCTACCGCAGGTGCGACTCTTATGTATGAGCAGACCCATGAAGGATGCCCCCCGACAGACTGGGCATCTGTGACCTGACGGACAGGCATCCAGGTGCAAGGCTGCAGCCAGCAATCAGGTGAGACTGCACGCAGTTTCTCTATCCCCAACCAGCTCTTTCCCCGCGTGCTCACCTCTGTTCAATACTCAAGTCAGCAGGCTAACTTTGTCCTCTATCCTGCTCTCCCCTCTTCTTTAGTCCCACAGGCTTGTCCAAAGCACATGGGCTATATAGACAGGCTTGTAGGGTCTCTGGTCTCAGCCTCCCAACAGCTGGGACTCGTTTAATCTTTTAGGTTGTTTGATAATGTGTCTTTCTATTTTTAAGATTGATTTTAATGATTTTAAAATTATTCACTGATGTGTGTTTCTGCATGTAGGCACACATGTTGAGTGCAGGTGCACAAGGATGCCAGAGGCATCGAATCTCCCACAGCTGTTGGTACACACGGCTGTGAGCTGCCCGCATGAACGCTGGGCTAACCTTAGCTAAAACTGCTTCACAGACATCCTGCCGTTCCTACTGTTACCCTTTTGTTAATCTTTCCCTCCTCTCCTACTCTCCCCCAACTCAATACTCCTCACTAACCTTACTCTACCTTTCTCCTTTCCATGCAGACACAGTGACTGAGAGCCTAAGACACATCATACCATCGGTGTTCCTGTACTGACTACAATGATTGGCACGTAAAGGGAATTGCGTAGTTGACTGCTATTATATGTTCATAGTGGGCCTACCCTTCGATAGTGATTGTTCCTGCAGACACTCTTCTACTTTTAGGGTTGTACTAGGGATTGTAAGTATATCCAAAGAAATCAAAGAGGATACCAATAAATTCCTGGACAAATTCCAAGAGAACACAAACAGCTTAATGAAATAAGGTTAAGTACAGATATAAATTGAAATTCAAGAAGTAGATAGAAATACTTGAAAAATACTTGAAATATTAAACTCGGGAAGTCAAGTAAAAATCTCTGTGGAAAGCATCACTGGTAAAACAGATCAAAGCGAAGGTGCACTACCTGGGCTTAAGACAAAGAAGAGAAACTGGAACATTCAGAAAATGATAATAAACTAACTGAAAGGTATCAACAGAACATTTGAGATCTGTGGGATACCACAAGAAAAGACCAAATCTACAAACCATGAGCATAAAAGAACGATTCATGCTAAAGACATAGAAAATATTCTAATTAAAATCATAGGAGAAAGTTCTGAATCTAGGTAAAGACATGCCCATTCAAGTCATAATGCATTTAGAGCACCAAACAGACGCAAGCAGACAAGAACCTTCCCACTTCATTGATGGTCGAAACACTCAGCTGGGTGCTGGTGGCACACGCCTTTAATCAGGAAGCAAAGGCAGGCTGAGTTTGAGGCCAGCCTGGTCTACATAGTGAGAGTTCTAGGACAGCCAAGGCTACACAGAATCCCTGTCTTGAAAAATCAAAATCAAAACCAAACCTAACAAACAAAAATGCACTCAATATACAGAACAAAGACAGCTTTTGAAAGCTGGGAGGGAGAAGTGGCAAGCTGCATGTAAACGAAGGACAGCAGAGTAACAGCAGATGTCTCAACAGAAACTAAGACAGGAGGGCTTGGGACGATGCATTCCAGGCTCTGAAAGATGACAACTGTGAACCCAGAATATTGCAACCAACAAAGCTTTGTCACAATCAGAGAGAAGGAAAAACATTCCATGACAAGGGCAGACTAAAGAATTCATAACCATTCAACCAGTGAGCCCCACAGAAGATGCTTGAAAGAATTCTTCAAACTGAAGAGAAAGATAAAAACATCCAGGAGGCTGGAGGAAAGGAGAAATACACTAGAAACAGTAGTTAAGCAAAGGAGAGAAAAACACCAAATACTACAAGATCAATAAAATAGCAGGAACTAATAGATACTTTTCAATAATAATGCTAATTGTTAGTAGCCTAAATTCCCCAATCAAAAGGTACAAATGAGCAAACTGAATTTAAAAACAAGACCTAAGTCAGGCGTGGGGGGCACCAAGGCAGAGGCAAACGGAGCTCTATGAGTTTGAAGCTAGCCTGCAACACAGTAAGTTCCAGGCCAGTCAAGCTACACAGTGAGACCTTTCCAAACAAACAAACCAAAACACCACTCTCCCCACCACAACCCCCCCAAAAAACAAAAGCAACAACAAAAACAGTATCTCACTATTTGTTACTTCCAAGAACCAGAGCTCAGGTCAAAGACAGGAGCGACCCTAGGGTGAAAGAATGGAAAAAGGTGTTCCAAGCAAACGGGGCTGGGAGATAAGCAGGTGTCCCCATTCTAATAGACAAAACAGACTCCAAACACAAACAAGTTGGAAGACATAAAGGTCACTTTGTACTCATTAATGGAACAACCCATCAAGACGGCATTATAGTTTATTATTAATGCATTCAAACTGACCACAATACACAATGCCATTTTTTTCAGTTGTAAAAAGCAAAGTTATGTCATTTTCAGGGAAGAAACTGGAGATTATCATATTAAGCAAATTAAGCCAGCCTCAGAAGACAAATATCTTGTTTTCTTCATATGTAGTTATTAGATTTTCCACAGATACATAAAGTCATGTGTAGAAGCAAAGCTGTAAGAGAACAGAGGAGGGTAGCAGACCAGGTGAAAGGCAGAGTATGGAGGGGCTGCAGAGATGCCTCAGTGGTTAAGAGTACTAGCTGCTCTTGTAGGACACTGGTCAGTTCCTTGCACCCACATGGTGGCTGACAACCATCTAAAATTCCAGTTCAGGGATCAAAGCCTTCTTCTGGCTTCCATAGGTACTGCAACAATATGGTGTATAGACAAACATACAGGCAGAACACGCACACGCACAAAATAAATAAGTCTTTAAAAAGAATTATAAATAAAAAGGTGTGTGGTTTGGGAGTGGCACTGGTAGGAAATGTGGCCTTTTTGGAGTAGGTGTGGTCTTGGAGGAAGTGTGTCACTATGGAGGCGGGCTTTGAGGTCTCATATATGCTCAAGCCACACCCAGTGAGACAATTCATTTCCTGTTGCTTTTGAATCTACATGCAGAATCTCCAGCATCATGTCTGCATGCACACCGCCATATATCCAGCTACCATGGTTCCTGCCATGATGATAATGGACTAAATCTCTGAAACTGTTAGCCATCACCTCAATTAAATGTTTTCTTTTATAAAAGCTGCCATGGTCATGGTGTCTCTTCACAGCAAAAGAAACCCTAAGACAAGGTGATATGAAAGGGAATTCATATGAACAACACATATTTAAACATACATTTATATGAAAATTCTTATGTAATACAGTCCCATGTACAATGAATATATACAATTAGAATTCAATAACTAAGCCCCCGCACTTAAAATATAACTTGTCCTGTACGAAAATAAAATGGTTATTTATATGCAGGAAACAGGAATGGCATGTTTAGTATAAGAGCAGTTGCTTATTAACTGAACAATCTAAATCTCTATATTGCATATACGTCTAGTAAACAAATGAGTCATACTGGTAAAGAAAATGCTGTTTATAAAGAATTAACTTTAATGAAAGACAAAAATTACCTGCTGACCAAGGAAGTGCTTTTATTCCCAAATTCTGAAAAACGATACGTGAATCATATTCTGGTTTTATTATTTCCTGATGTCTGGGATCCATTTTAAAGAAGTCACCGTGAATCACCTGCATCTCTCCACCCACACTATTCCTTAAGGCCTGAAGAGACGAGAAGGTGACATCAGAAATTTCATCATGTACACCGCGCTACAATTCAAAGATCTACCTCAAAAATTAAGAAAAATAAATAGCTGAGCACATGGGGGCATGTCTGCAATCTCATCACTCAGGAAACTGAGACAGGAGAATTACAAATTCTAGGAGGGCCTGGGTTACATAGTTAAGTTTAAGACCAGTCTATCTCTATAATATAGTGAGATCTGGTCTGAACAATTCAAAGGCTGGGAATATATACGGCTTGATGATAGGACATCTGCCAAACATGCACAAGGCCCAGGGAGGCACTATAGCACCTCAAATAAAAAAGTTCAAAGTAGCCGGGTGGTGGTGGTGGCGCACACCTTTAATCCCAGCACTCGGGAGGCAGAGGCAGACGGATCTCTCTGAGTTTGAGGCCAGCCTGGGCTACCAAGTGAGTCCCAGGAAAGGCACAAAGCTACACAGAGAAACCCTGTCTTGGAAAAAAAAAGTTCAAAGCTCTCATGTGAAGGTACAAGTATTCTTAATATGCCTCAAATTTAACATAGGAACTAAAAATCAACCACTGCAGGAAAAGACGGTCCAAGTGCAACAGTTTTCTAAGAGGTCTGATACAGAAGTAATCTTCCCTAGGAGCCTGTGGAGCTCAGTAGTACAGTACTCATGCAGCATGTACAAGGCCCTGAAGTCAACCACCAGCACCACATTAAAAACAAAACCAAGCCAGGCATGGTGGCGGTGCATGCCTTTAACCCCAGTACTCGAAAGACAGGCAGGTAGGTGAAGCCAGTCTGATCTACAGAGGGAGTTCCTAGACAGCTAGGACACAGAGAAACCTTGTCTCAAAAATCTGAAATAAAAAACAAAAACAAATCACCAACAAATTTTCCTTTCTTTTTGTTGATTGCTTTCGCTGTTTATAAAGCTGCCTCCTTTGGAGGTGTGGGGAATGTTAAATCAGGGTCTCACTAGGTAGCACTGGAACTCACTACGTAGATGAAGCTGACCTCTTTGGGTGATTCTTCTGCCTCTGCCTCCCACATGTTAGGATTACAGGTACTTGGGAGGCAGAAGAAGTTCTATGAAGATGAGACCAACCTGATATACCATAGCTCTTTTTCGTTTTTTAAAAAATTAAATCTTTAGATGTCATAGCTATTTCTACAATGTTTTGTTGCCACACAGTGTGGTGATATTTTGTTTGTGCTTTTTTTTTTTTTGGTTTTTCGAGACAGGGTTTCTCTGCGTAGCTTTGTGCCTTTCCTGGAACTCGCTTTGGAGACCAGGCGGCCTCGAACTCACAGAGATCCGCCTGGCTCTGCCTCCCGAGTGCTGGGATTAAAGGCCTGCGCCACCACCGCCAACAAATAAAGCTTGCCTGAAGATCAGAGTGCAGAGGTAGCTACTAGAGGCCAGGCACTGGTGGCACATACCTTTAACACCAGCTTGGGATCATGCCTTTGATCCCAGAACTTGGGAGGAGGAAACAGGAAGTGGTATGGCTGGGCAGAGAAAGGAAGTGACAAGGTGGAGTGGAGACAGTCTGAGGATGGCTAGAGGTAAGAAGCCTTTCTACTGGCTGGCTGCTCTGCTTCTCTGATCTTTCAGCTTTCACCCTGACATCTGACTCTGGGTTTTTATTACTAAGACCAATTCGGATTTGAGCTACAGCACAGCACTTTAAAGTCAAGTCATCCGTTCTCCACGCTTTCAGAAAACTGGCATAGATATACAGGTATAAGTTTTCTGAACTAATTTCCTCTCAAGAGGTCAGCTGTCAGTTAAAGACTCAGAAACACTGAAACAACCATTTGGAGGAAAATCCAGCACTCTGCAACTGCATTTGACCATATCAAACCTGGTTTTGCTTCATTTTAAGTCCTAACTAAACTCAGAGTTTACACAGATTCACTTAGCATTCACTCTTGAATTTTAAGCTCACAAAAAGGCAAGGTCACAAGCTTAGTGACCAATTATATATCACTCAGCTAGACTTTTTAGGAAGGGGAAGACGTGACACGCTCCCTCCTGATCTTAAGGGAACAAACCACACTCATTTAACCAAAGGTAGGTTACCAATTGAAAAGTGTAACAAGCTAATTAACCGAGCTTTATGTAACAAGTGGTCCTACCGAGATTTAGAGGAAAGCACCCGATTTTATTAAGCTTAGTCAATGGAGAACGGGCAGCTATGTGGGGATGAGCTTGCACAAGTGGAGTGTGATCTACTATAAGCAACCAAAGGTGGGGCAGACCCCAGGCCCGTCTGTCCAGATTCTTAGCCTCTTTCATGTTTGTGCCGTTCCTTCCTCCTGGACAGAGGGTGAGGGCTTCTGGGAGGAAAAGGACTTATGATCTACTATGAAACAAAGGAGGTCGGAGACTGTCTTTACAGGCAGCTCTCACACAGAAAGCTAACAATAATCACAGGCCATGGTTTGCTTTGCAGTGAGGTGGTCCTGGCTTCTATGACTGCCCTTTGGGAATAGGAGTTCTGGTCTCTGGCTCCATTTGAAGGAGAAAGAAGTAAAGAGATAGGAAAGCAGAGATACCTTATTTCTGAGGCTACACTTGTGGGCTTCCAACTGTCTTTTATTTCAAAATACTCAGCATGTCAACGTGTCACACTTTGAGGTACCATCTTCTGGGCCCCAATAGGAATTAGAAAACAGCCCAGAACTCCCAAGCTTTAAGTTACTCAACAAGCACTAAAGACTCAATGGGTCCTAGTCTTTAGTGATATTAGACATAGACCCTAAAAAGATCTATAAGAAGAAATTGTGCTAACTTCTTTAGCCCACTCAAAGTTAGTGGACAGAACAACAAATGACTTTAGGAACATAAAAATATACCTTTAAATGTGGAATAAAAGACTTTTCACTTTCAAAGGCAATCACTCTGGTACCAGCTTTAAGTAATGCCTCAGTCAGGATTCCAGGACCTGGTATATTAACAGAAAAACTTTATTTGTAAAATAAACAACATAGTTTCTCTCACTTACTCTGTAGACCAGGCTGGCCTCAAACTAACAGAGATCAGCCTGGCTCTGCCTTTCGAGTGCTGGGGATTAATGGTGTGCGCCACCAATATTCTTTTTCTTTTTTGTTTGTTTTTTGAGACAGGGTCTCTCTATGTAGCCCTGACTGCCCTGGAACTAGCTATGTAGACCAGGCTGGCCTTGAACTCAGAGATCTGCTTGCCTCTGTGAGGATTAAAATGCCATAGTTTCTTTCAAAGCTGACTTTTACACATTTTAAATATCACAACATTCCTAGATATGATTCTTTTTGTGTAAAAACATATGTAAAAAGATGAGCTGGGCGTTAGTGGTGCATGCCTTTAATCAGCCTGGTCTACAGAGCGAGATCCAGGACAGCTAGAGCTACACAGAGAAACCCTGTCTTGAAAAAACCAAAAAACAAAAACCAAACAAACAAAAAAAGATGATTAGACAGTTAACTTGAACCCACAACATCCCAACAGGTAACTGAAGAGCATTCCAGGATGTCAATGACAGCAAAATTTACACTCCTCAACAAATCTCACTATTTCTTAGAAACAATATTATTTAAGATTGCAGCTTACCTCTGACTCATGGACTATCTGAATGTTTCGTCATAAAAACTACTGTCAAGTCTAAACGGAACCGACTTTCTGTGAGAAGTGGTGCTTAAAAAAGGAAAAAGACAGTTCAGGACCAAGGAAAATGCTCAGAGGGCAAAAGCACTTGGCGTCTACCCTGACAACCTCATCTCAAGAGGCTGTCATCATCGAGACCCATGCGGTGTAAGGATAGAAGTGGCTCTCCCAAAGTTGTCTTCTGAACTAAACACGCGCACGCACAATAAATAAACCTAATTTAGAAAACTGGGGATGTAAAGGTTAAGAGCAAACCTGTTCTCTCACCTGGATTGCACTCTAGTACAAGTTGACGAGACGGTTTTTGGAACCCCAGGATGTTTCGTACCAGGTTCCTGGCCAATTTCTTACACGCCACGTGACGCGTAGGCTCGGATCGACCCTTGGGTGCATAAAAGGGTGATTCCTCGAAATCATGATCAAATAACGGCTGCAGGTAAAAGTCAGAGAAGCCACGACGGTTCCTCGCTTGCCAGTCCTTCCACGTCGCAGCTCCAGACCCCAGAATACAAGAGCGACCGGGACCGGCCAACACTGACAGCGCCAGCCGCGGAGGCAGCCCCATCGCCGGGCCCCACATCCTCCTCTAACGTCCACCACAACCACCAGTTTGGGTAGTTTCTGCAAAGAACAAGTAGCACCACATCCCCACGTGCAACAGCAACACACGGACGCACTAGGCCGGGCGGAAACAAACACTACAAACGGCGCATGCGGACGCCGGAGCCTCAGCCTTTTCTGCACTCGCTTCCGCTTCCGCCCAGGCTCCGCCCCCAGACGCCTGTGAGTGGACTATCCGGGTGTGTCCGGGTTGGAACTCTATGGTCGCCCGCCCTCGGCGCTTCCTCTCTAGCCTCTCGCACTCTATGCTCCTCGGTCCGGCGGCCGGCCGGGAGGGCGCGCGGAGGGAGGCGGGGCGGGAAGGCTGGAGGTGTCCGATCCTCCAGAGCCGCGGGAGACCGGAGCCAGCTGTGTGACAGCTCGTCGGCCGCCATGTCAGCAAGCGGGGCTGGAAACAGACCCGGCGCCCGGCGGTAGCCCTTGCGTTGCCTCGGATGCCCAGGTAAGAAGAGCAGCCGGGCTGCAGGGGATCTGCCGGCTCGGCGGCCGCGGAGCTGCGGACGCTCGCTCGCTCCTCCCCGGGCGCTGTCGTCCCGGGAGTTGCAGTGGGTCCCTTTGCATCCGCCCCCTCTCGGTTTCCCCCGCTTTTCTGCGGGTGTGCTGTTGTCGCGCATCGCGCCAATTTCTCCGCGCGCGCTCGCCTCCCCGGGGATCCTGCGGCTTCTACTCCGCGTTGGTGTCTCTCTGCTCGGTGGCCCGTCGCCTGTGCTCGCTCGCTTTCCTGCGGGTGGTTTTTATTTGCCCCCATACCTTGTTTCCCCTCCACCGTCACCTCTTTGGTTGTCTGGAAATCGCCTAGTTGTCTCCCTTCTTGTCCTGCCTCTGGGCCAAGATTTACCTTTTCTTTTTAATATGCATATTTGCAAGACTTAAATTTAAGGCTGAACAGAAAATAAGATTTGAAAGCTTAAAATTCTTTCCTATCTTTAAAAGGATTAAAGCCTTAGGAAGCGTCTTTATTCTTCTGTGTAAACTTAGTTAAGCACATTGTATTGTAGAATGCAATTTAAAAGGCCGATCGCAAAGACTAAAAATAGAATGTTCTAATGGGAATTTTGGCAGTCTTTGGGGCAATGTTAGAAGATCCGATTCTTTGAGAGTGGTTTCAGTGTTTGAGGGATCGGACTCAAAGCTTTACCCATTATCCTTTCCATCAAGGCAGGAAGCTGCGGCCAATCAACTCCCTAGTTTAAAATATGTACAATCCTTTCTGCTTACTCTGCTGGCAGCATAATTGAGCTTGGCATTTAAATGCACAAGGAAAAGAGTGTCTGAGGAATGTGTCACCTGCCAAGTAGCCCGTCGATTATCCTTAGCTGATGAAACTCAAGGACATAAAAAATTGACACCTGAAGATGGCCCTTTTTGAATAAGTTAGTACAGTGTAGGAGTTATTAACTATTGTGGAAATCCCGAGGATTTCATTCACTGATCTTAAATTTGTTTGTTTAGTATTCTTTCCTCACTGAAAATTTTGTAACAAGGCAGTGGTACAAGTCTCTAATCCTAGCATTCAGGAGGTTGAGGCTCCATGAGTTTGAGGACAGCCTGGGATGCGTTATGAGTTCAAGGCTAGCTTAGGATATACTCAAACTATGTCTCAGGAAAGGAGAAAAGGAAGGTGATCATCCCCCAAAATGAGCATTTTGATAAACTCAGAAGTAGTCTAGATTTAACCGCCCCAGAGCAATATTTTAACAATTGAATATAGCAAAATGATTTTTTATATGAGAGCAATGACAAAATTCACTTACCAAGTATATCCTTGAGTTTTTTTTGCTTTTAAAATAAGCCTCTTAAGGCAAGGGTATATAATGTAGCTGTTTGGTAGACCACTTGCTTAGCATGTATTAGGCCCTGAATTCTGTACCGGGTACCACAAAAGGTAAATATACTTAGCACTGTGGGAAAAGGACATTTTTAAGAATTTCATAGTGCCTGTGGACCACAGCCTAATCAGTCCTTGAGAACTTAGGGCAGTGTTTATTTCGCTTTTGAGCAGTTGGTGGAAGAGAAGTTATATTTATTTACCTTATTCCCCCTTCTCCCCTTCTTTGTTAGAGGCCAAACCGTGGGCCTTACACAAGCTAGGTAAATGACCTGCCTCCAAGCTACCCCCTAGTACCCGGTTTTTGTTTGTGTGTGTGGTATACATGTGTGTCCATGTTTGTGTGTGCATGCATGTATGTGCCCTGTGTGGTGTGATGTCAGATGACTTCCCCAGTCACTGTCCACTTTACTTTTCTGAGACATGTTCTGTCCCTGAACCTGTCCCTAACAGATTCTGTTAGGCTGGCTGGCCAGAGAGCTCCAGCGATCTCCCCTCCTCCATCCCCTAAACACTGGGGTTATAGATTTGTATCTTTGGGGATCAGGAGGCAGGTCTGAATGCTTGCGAATACTAAGCCCTCCCCCTTAACTGTGGTTTAAACTGGTCTTAAATTCCTCCTCCTCCTGCCTTAACTGGGATTTGCAGGTTTGTGTCACGTGTTCAGTTGTTTCCATTTTTATAATGTTAAGTGTTTACTTGTTTGTGTTTGCAAGCACTTGAGTAATACAGAAACCACCCCACCCCTGGGGCCCTGGATGCTAAAAAGGAAACAGTCATTTCACTTTTAAAATGATTTTTTTTTTTTTTTTTTTTTTTTTTTTTGGTTTTGGGTTTTTCGAAACAAGGTTTCTCTGTGTAGCCCTGGCTGTCCTGGAACTCGCTCTGTAGACCAGGCTGGCCTCAGACTGAGAGATCTGCCCGTGAGTGCTCAGATTAAAGGTGCTCACCACCATCACCCAGCTTACAATGCATATTATAATCAGCATTTAGACCTACAGTTTTAGAAAAACTTAGTTAAGGTATTTGTGATCACATTCTCTTAACAGTTGCGGTTTTTGTATCCTGTGCTGTTTTCGCCCCCCTGAAGTGAGTTTTCTTTCTAATATGCTTGCTGGTTACTTTATGGCTGGCTTTAAATTATTTTTCTTATTAAGTTATCATAATCAAATTGCTTGAGAAAGGAAAGTACTGGTTTTTTTTTTTTTCTTGTAGATTTTAAATGAGAACTGAAATTGGGAAATACTGAATGTTATGCTTTGTGTCAGAGTCAAGGCTGGAGCAGCACCATTCAGAAGAAACAGAAGCTAATTCTAAAACTTTTCTAGCGGTCCCATTTACCAAGTGGAAATAGCCTTAATGGCTTTAATCCTCCGTATATCATAGTTGCCACAATATTTTCCAAGATTTTCTGCCAAATCTGCAGTTCTGATGTGGTTCACACTCAGCACATCTCGATTAAGACTGACCCCGTTGCCAGTGTTCAAGAGTCACCTGTAGCCGATGCCTTCCTCCCTCATTGGCTGGCACGGAACCAGAAGACCGGTGTTTGATGCTTAAAATGCCTTTCTCCCCTGGGAGTTGGATTCTCTCGGGATACATAAAAAGGCCCTTTCTTCTTTCTTTCTTTCTTTTTCCTTTTCTCTCTGTTTCCATTCTCATATTGAGAAGATTCTGTGCAGGACGAGGGTTCTGTGCGGAAGGAAGTCTCTTCCTGTTCCATGTTGACACTGATGAGCACTGATGCCCAGTACTTGTTAATTGACTATCCTAGGATGAATAGAATGCTCAGTCATTTCCTGGGGTGTCGTTGTGACAGTTCTTTCCATCTGTGTGTCAGCAGTGTGTCAGGGCTGTGAGTCTGTGTCTAGTAAGTCTGGTGGCATTGAGTAGGGAGGACTTGGGGCCCTATGAGATGCTTGAACTTGGTTGCAAGAAACAGGTAGGGTACCTGCTGTTGTACTATTTCCTGAACCAGTTTCAAGTATGACTAATGGTCTGGGAGATGTGGTCCTCTGTAGCTTGGTGTTTCTTATCAAGGGCAAGGCAATATTTCAGGCAAAATTTAGAATGAAAGAGGGTATGGTATTTTGGCTTTGAAACTGTGGGAACCCGAGTTTATGTTTGTTAAAGAGAAATGTGGCAGCTCTGTATAAAGCTGCTGGCACATCATCCGGGTACCTGCCAGGAGCTGCTTGGCAGCAGGTATGCTAATTCAAGTGAAACCATCCATGGTTTAGAGCTGAAGTAACCAGGTTTAGAGCTGACCTCTGTGGGGATTCTGTCTTGGTCCTGTCTTGACTCCTGCATTCTAATAAATTTCCTAATTAATATTCCTGATAGTTTAATACAAGAAGCATATCTGCTTCCTTGATCAGCAAACAGGCTTTCTGTCTAAACGCCAGTCTTTATAGACTGACCCACTGTAAGGCAGCCTCTGGAGTGTTTGCAGGAGCAAATCGAGAATTGGAAAAGGTGGATAGACTTATTTTTGTGAAAGAGAAGTGTACATTCTGGTAGTGTTTTCATTTGCATTTAAAACTAGACATTGGTGGCAGTTGGTTTGAATAAATAAAAAATAAAAAAGAATAAATTCAGGACCACAAAGAGAAAATTGAAGATTCAGGCAAAAGGATACAAAGTATCGAATCTGCAGACTACCAGGTAGACTGAGCTAGCCCACTGCATAGGAGTGGCAGTTAGGAATAGTGTAAGCTTTTGGCTAAGTGAGTACATTGTAGCCATGACTGGGGGGATGGGGGATAACTGACCTGATGATTGTATTCATTAGTTTCATTTTAATAACGATTCTAATACCCATGTATCTTATGTAATACATATGTATCTTATACAGTGGAGCTATCTAGCTTAAATATACAATGTAGTAAAACTTGTTTTTTTAGAGGCAGGAGGATGGTGAGTTGGAGATCTGCCTGAGCAACTTAGGCAGCATAAGGAGAACCTGTCTCTAAAATCTAACCAAAAACTAAAGAAGAAAATTGAAAACAACAAATTTTTTTTCTTAAAGAAAAATAAGCTGGGTAAAGTTGTGTATTCCTGTGGTCCCAGCTACGACAGAGGCTGCTGAGAAAGGGGGCTCCCAAGCCTAGGGGCCTGGGGGGGGGGTCAACCTGGACAATGTAGCTAGATCCCTTCTGAAAAAGAAAAAAAAATTCATTTAGTTATTTGAGGAAGAAAACTGATAGCCTGGCAATTTTTCAATTTCTTTAAAAGAAAAAAAAAAACTTTATGCTTGAAGAGCTTCCAAAAAGAGATGTTCTGGATGAAAAGGTCTGATGTCTTTAAACTATTATGCTGCTTTCTCTTCCGTTTTGAGCCTTTAAGACTTACGTTAATACAGACTTTACCTTGTGATCATCCCCATGGGGAAAATAGATTTATTTTCAACAAGGGACTACTTTTGTTTTTTAAGCAATTGGAATAATTCATATGGGGTATTTAAAATATATAGTATATTTAGAAATTCTTAAGTTTTATGATAGTTGGAGATTTCTGAAAGTGTTTTAGGCATGATTTTGCAATGACCATATTTGGAGGTTGAAACTTTGTGTCTCCTCCCCACTCTACCATGCTATCTTAGGACTTCCTGGTTC